CAAGCATTTAGAAACATGGAGAAAGGAAGAGAAAGAAGCTGTTGAAGAAATGTGGAGTTTGGCAAAGCTAAACATTAGCACCAGTAGAGTTCTTACTTCTTATTATGGCAGATAAGATAGTTTAATGTTAATTGTTAACTACTTAATAATTTTTTAAAACATGTGTATCATGATCTAAATTATCATAAGCCAACCCGGCATACAAAAAGGATGCATGAATGCGAGTGCCATCCTTAAATTTTAATATTAGAACAATCATCTTTAAGAACCATAATCCGCTTTATTTTGAGACTTAAGTTTTCCACAACTTTCAGGAAATTAGTAAACATGAAGTACAGTTCATTTCTCTAGCTTGACAATTAATTTTAACAACCTGGTCAATTCCTTAAAAAGGAACCGAAGATTTTATTTCATCTTTCTCGTTTCTTCTAATAATGTCAAAAACCAAACTTATGAAGGGCAAACTGATTCCTATGGAACCAAGATCTATAATTCCCACCTCCATAAGTAAGTAGCAGTAACTATCTGACCTCTAGTATTTTGCCATCAGAAGCAATGTCCCTGTGACGGAAACACCACCTATCAACTCCAAGCTTGTTTACGAATTCAAAATTGGCTCTCACTGCAATTTGTTTAAAAAAGGATCAAAGAAAATTATTACATGCTGCGAATTAGTATTAATCAATAATCAGAGAAAAGTGGGCAATAACTATCAATCTTACTTCTTCCTTTGGCCACAGCAATGGAATTGCTACCATTTTCCCATGGCCAAGACTTTGTGAGTGCACCAAGAGGATTGGCACCTGTCCTGCAAAAATTCATCGGCCATGCCATTCCATAACTACTAAGACACATTAAATAACAATTACTTAACTAACCATCTCCAGCTTGGATGGCCTACCTACAAGAATTAACCATATAAGATCTACTACGAAATAAACAACACTTGCAATTGCAATTTGGAAATATAATGAGGCAAGGATAAAAAAACCATATAAGCTCCAGAGAATGCATTAGGGCTAATTTAATTGCTAATTCTATCATTCAAACTTATGAAAAAAGTGGTGGTAAAGTTTGATCATAAACTTAGCAAGAACAATTGATCATATTTATAATGTGCAAGAAAAATCCTTTAACAGAGCAGAGAGATCAGGCACTCTACATCCAATATGATAAGTAAACTATTTCCGCATTGGTACATATTTTACAATTCATCCCTGTACCCAAAGATACATTTAACTTTAGAGAAGAAAGATTGCCAGTGAGCTTTGCATTGGGTAGAACCCCAGAATACCTTTTAGCTGATTGTTGTTCCAATGTTCCTCTTATCAATAGAAATAAAATGATAATGAATGTCAGGACAAAATAAAAGCAAACATAAGATTACAATTTAATTCTCAAATAATCAAATTTAAATAAAAGAATGAGACAGTTGAAATAAAGTAATTCGTACCATGGTAATTCATCTGGTTTAACAAAACTACACACCAAAATACAATGTAATATTGTGGGTTTGTTTCAGTGTTTGTTTCCATAGTGTATGTTAGCTGTGTACACCTCATTGTTTGAGGATGGCAAAAATCAATTTGAGGCTGTTCAGAGTCCGATGCTTACCTCGCCGACATATAATTTCTAGGAGGTGGTCATAACAAATATGCATTTTCCCTCTTTCAATCCTTGGATTGTATCAAGTACTTTCCTGGTTTTTCTATGGATAATCTTTCCTTCAACAACAATGTACTTATAATGCCATTCCTTTTGTTGTTTCCTTACCAAAAGGCAAAAACACACATCAAGATTTTATGACAACTGGAATTAACAATTTCATACATCTTATTAGAAATTTAAATCTGGAAATCTAACATATGAAGGCACATATAGGTCCAAGACACTTAATGCATTGCTGTTAAAGCTTCAATCTCGGGCATTCTTTGAGATTGATATCTTTGCCATCCCTTATATCTAACCTGTAAAACAGCACAAACGAAAAACTCCATCAGCAATTAACTGCTTTTAACACTTTCATTGGGAAATTTCAAGTTAATAGCAATTGCAATTCATGGTGGGGCTTACCAATAGAAAAATGGTTGACCAGTATTAGCTTTACAGCACTCCTCGTAGTAAATATGCAAGTTATGCCCATAGTGATGACGCGGATCAATCTATAGTAAAAAAAAGTTAGATTCAATCAATAAAATTATCCAAAAAAATCTAAAATTTGAAATCAATATATTTTTTGACTCAAGTAAAAGGACTAAGGATTGAGGAGAGTAAATTACAGCTTCGATCCAATGTTAAAAAGCCAATTCTTGTGCTTTGGTATCTTCGGACAATCCCTTCCCAATCTGACAAAATTCCAAATTTGATCATTTATGAAAAAACCCAACTTTTAAACTAAACAAAATAACAAAAAGATTTTTTTTAATACCTTAAAAGCATTTAAACGAACACGATTCCACCTTAAAACAGCAGTTTCTGGTTTCAAATAATTGAAAAATGAAACTGTGCTGTGATTAAGCCTTGTATGATCTAAAACCAGCCACCTGAAAAAGTAATAATTACTATCACCCAAGAAATATAAAATTTTAAATAATGTAAAAGGAAAAAAAAAAAAAAAAGCATACAAAGATTTTATGAACTTACCAGAGTTCTTTGACGACAACAGTAGAGTTTGCTAACCTTTGTTGAAACAATTAAAGAGAAATAAAAAAAAAGAAGGAAAAAGGAACATGCAAGATAAAGACTTGCCTTGTTGGTGAGCTTGGCAATCAAAAGCTTTTAACCTAATCAGTGGCTTAAAAGTAACAATCAAATTCAATTCTTTTAACCAAATTACATCAAAAAAAAAAGAAGAGAAAATTCGTACGATAAAGAGTTAAAAATAAATACTCAGAATCCATCTTCATATGATGAGCGTTGAAGAAGAAAACAGTCGAAGGAATCAAAGTGATATCGAAATACTTAACGTAAACCTGAACATCCTCGGAATCTACGTCGCCTAAAGCCACTGTCGCGAATTTGGAAACCTCACGTGCCGTCTTGGAAAGGAAATCGTCCAGTTGGAAACAGATAGTGTCGGCGACACGGCCAAAGCGGAGGACTAGGACCTTGTCGATGATGTCTCGGATGATCATGTCGACTCCTTTCTTCCTCTTCAGCGTCCGTAATAGGTAACTCATTTTCTTTCATTTTCTCTCAAACAAAGAAGAGATTTGTGTTTAACAGGTGTTAGACATTCGTTTCAGTTTTTATTCAACAGGTGTTAACGCATGCATTGTGTTGAAAGCTTCAAACATGTTTTCTTCCCCAATTTAACCCTCAAATTATAACTTATGACATTGCTAAGTTGGATGTTTAAACCGAGGATAGTTTTTATTATAAGTTATAGATGTTGGGCTATAAATCCAATTTTTTCATGGGCTTTTTAAATTATAATGGCAAGTAATCTTAGCTACAAAATTTTGTGGCCCCAACTGTATCTAAATGTCATTCTACGCATGAAATCAGTCATACTGTTAAGTGCTTGAATCTTTTAACACAGTTAAAATAATTATTAAAATATTAAATTAAAAATTATATATAATAAAATTTATAATATATAATTGGTGTTTTTAAAATTAAAAACTATTAATATTATTTTATATCAAATAATATTTTTACTTAATAAATGAAAATTACTATAATTATTTATTAACTTTTTTATATATTCAATTATTTAATAATTTATTAGATTTACTATTTATTATTTATTCAAGTATTATTTATTGGCCAAAAAAGGTTTTTGTTTAATTTTTAGTTATTAATTATTTATTAGATAGTTATATAAATTTATTTATTTATTAAATTAATAAAATTGTTTAAAAAACTTCAAATAAAAAATTTATAAAAGAATGAAGAAGGAAAAAGTGTAAAATAACAGGACACTTTCATCCATGAACTACACCTTTGAGGATAAAAAAAAAATTAAAATATGGACATTTTAAAAATAAATATTGCGTTATTTTTAAATTGAGTACTGTTCTACGGTGATCGAAACAAATATTATGTGATCTAATCCCATCGTATCGTGTATATAAATGGACCCTCAATTGATTCGGAGCTAATAATTTTTTCCTGGAAATGCCGTCACAATAACTTGTGTCAACTGCTCATTTGGTGTTTCACGTGGCAGCTTTAACCGACAGGCAGGGACTGCTGCATGTTTGACATTGGCTTCAACTTCAATGTTATTTTTCTCCTTATGCTGCTGTAGCACTTTGCTTGATCCAAGTTAAAATTTCCAATTTCCCTTACATCTTTCAAAATAAAGTTTGCAATCAACATAAAAAAAAAAAAGGAGTTTAGTTATTAATTATTCCGTGTTCACAATAGAAAGAATTATACGAAATAATTGTATTATATCAGTATATATTTTGTATTCAAATCATATTATATAATTATATTATTAAAAAATTAATTAATTATTATAAAATAATTAATTTATTTATTAAAAGAAATATTTATCATTTAATTACCACTTATAATATATAATAATTAATTAATTTTTTTCAATAATATGTTTATATGATATGATTCAAATAAAAATATATATGTTGAAGTTATATAATTATTTTATACAATATTTTCGCGTTCCGTGATGTGGTTCTAATTTTTCTATTGTTTTTATTAAAAAAGAAAAATAAAAGAAAAACAAATTTTAGGGGGCAAAATAATATTTTCTAACTTTCTTTAAAATGTGAAGTGCTAATGTAACTATAACAACAGAGGGGGCAGAATCGTGTCAGTAGATTTGATAATTTTAAAATTGATATAATAATATTTTTTAAAATAATATAAAAAATAAAAATAAAATAATTAAAACTTTAATAAAAATTATATATTAGTTTAATAAAAAAATATATTTTTTATATTTTATATGTATTTGATAAAAATAAAAAAATTTATATATGGCGTAAAACAAATAGGATAAGCATATACAAATTATCATGTTTGTTGACCATCCCATTCTTCGCCCCTCCTTCTTGTCTTTATTTATTCCTCTTTATTCTATTTACCAGGGTTGCTTTCTGCCATTAGTTGTATGATAGTATCGTTATCTGCAATTCTTTAGTTTCTCAATGTCCAATAACAAGCTAGAAGGCAAGGTAGCCGTCGTTACAGGCGGAGCAAGCGGTATTGGCAAAGCCACCGCCAGTCTTTTCGCCGATCATGGTGCCCGTATGGTAGTGATCGCTGACATCCAAGATGAACTAGGCCAGCAGGTAGCCGCATCAATCGGTTCTCAAAAGTGCAGCTACATCCACTGTGATGTTACTGATGAAGAGCAAGTCAGAGCTTTGGTGGAATGGACAGTCCAGAATTATGGGCAGATTGACATCATGTTTAGTAATGCAGGGATACTTTGTTCCAAGAAGGGCACATCCAACTCCAATCAAGTCGTTCTTGATCTAGACCTCGAAGCTTTTGACCACCTCTTCGCCGTCAACGTGCGTGGCATGGCTGCGTGTGTTAAGCACGCGGCGCGTGCCATGGTTGACAAGCGCGTGCGAGGGAGCATCATCTGCACGGCGAGCGTCACTGCCAGCTTCGGTGGCGACAAGAACACTGACTACTTCATGTCAAAGCATGCGGTGCTGGGATTGGTAAAGTCAGCGAGCAAGCAGCTTGGGGCCCATGGGATTAGGGTGAACAGTGTTTCGCCTTTCGCCGTAGCGACCCCAGCGCTGTGTTCTCAGACGAGGCTGGAAGCCGAGGAAGCTGAGAAGCTTTATGAGCCGTATACTTGCTTGAAAGGGGTGGTGCTGAAAGAAAAGCATGTAGCCGATGCAGTGTTGTTTCTCGCATCTCAAGATTCAGATCTTGTCACCGGTCATGACATGGTAGTGGATGCCGGGTTTCTGGGCAAATAAACAGGGAACATATGTCAAAAGCTGTGGTCATCAGGCCAAACTGATCAGAGTAAGAATCTGATTAAATTATTATAATGTTAATTTGCAGCAATCTAGGCGGCATATGTAAGCTCTCTTGTTCACCGCCATTTATCATATTTATAAATAAATAGGGAGACAATTATTAGTATATTAATTAACAATTTTAATATTAAGCTCGGTTTTTTATAAATCATTAAGAAAATTTTTTAATGGAGATACATATTTTTTTAATTAATTTATATTGACTCCTGCATTTTACAAACTTATTTTATTAATATTATTATTTTTTATTAGTGCAATTTTTAACAAAGAAGGGATTTCGACCACAATTTTTTGTGAGTAGAGATTGATGTTGATTTTTTTTTTGTTTTGTTTTTTTTCGGAAATTAAATCTTAATTATTTAAAAAAATTACACTTTTGTGCGTTTTTTTCTTGCGTCACTGGGTTGATTCTCCTCAGTTTTTTTTTTTTAACTACTTAATTTACATCCGTTAATTTTCGCTACAGGTTAATTCTTTTGTAGTTTTGTTTGACTTGGACAGTTGGTTTCAGGGTGTTTGGATACAAGTACAACCTCACTATTTTTTTTTTTTTTTAACTTTTGTTCGTTTGGTTTGAATTAATCGAAATTATAATTATAAATCAATTCATTTTTTTGATGTAAATTTTTAGTTTTTAAGACACATCTCCAATATTCATCATTGACATCTGTCTCTAAAATAAGTAGATCACCTTATTTAGGTAAATAAACCTTAGGTATAGTGGTTAAATCTGATTTGATCTGTTTGATAATATCAGAATCGTTAGGTGTCCAGACAAAATTATCTTTACGTAATTTACGCAAAATATAACTTTCTTTTTTGCAAAAATTTTTGAAAAATTATCTGCCATAATTAAATATACCTAACAGCTGTTGTAGTTGTTTGACATTATTCAATTTTTCTAGAAAGTCTCTGATCTTAGAAATAATGTGATACCTTTAACAGCCTCTGTAAATGCTCTAATATCATTTATAAAAGGGGGTGCGAAAAGGATCTATGTATAAAGGATTACAAAAGCTATATATATATGATTGGAGGTAAATTCTTCAGACTGTCTCTCTCATACACTTTCTCACTTCATCTCTCTTTGTATATAAATCATGATTATAAGACTTATCTTGACAAATACAAGAATTTTCTTCATAAGTTTCTATGTTTCTGGTGCTTAAAATCGGTATGCTGTTTTGAAATGCTAGCAACAAAAGGTAACTCAGGCCATAAAGTCAACTACAAGTCAGATATGCACGTATGAGCTTAACAACCTCTATAAATGCTCTGATATCATTTACAAAAAGGGGTACGGAAAAGATCTATGTATAAAAGATTACAAAAGCTATATATATATATATATATATATGATTAGAGGACAAAGAAAGATGGAGTGAGAAAGTGTATGAGAGAGAGAATCTGAAGAATTTACCTCCTCGAGCTTAGGTACAATGAGGCTTTAAATAGAAAAATTTTAACCTATGAACAGTGATTCTATACAGTTACCCACTACAGTGTACAGTAGAATTTTTATTTACAGTACTGCTATAGTGACTTGCTATAGTGTCTTTCATAGTAGGTCTCTATCTTTTTTTGTTACAATGACGTTTTATCTTCTGTTACAGTGATTGCTACAGTTAACTGCTACAGTATTTTCTATCTGCTAGTCTTTGGTATTGAATGGAGTTTTGTCCTTTTGTGTCAACTACCTGTTTTGGCTTATCCTGGATTAGAATATGCATAATTTATCCTTTCATAGCATTGTTTAAGTTATGAAATTCTTCGTCCAATGCGTTTAGGGACTGGGGAGATTAAGAAAATTCAGAATGTGATTTGTTCCACATTTGTCATCCTTCTTGATACCGGTATAGTAAATCAATCGAATGATCTAGATCTTCCATTTTAGATAATTTATCCAAAAGCTCAATTACTTCTGGTGCATTTTCGATATCAAGATCTTCATATGGTTCAAGAAATCTTTTAACAAAAATGCGTCTGCCATCTGTCCAACAGGCTATTTTTGGATAGTCTTGTTTGGTAGTTAAATGAAAAAAAAAATTTTGCTTTGTCCATTAGATCAGTTCTTGTTTGGAAGTGATAGGAGTTTGGGTTGGTATATTTAGAGATGATTTTGTTTAAATCATCTGAAATTCGATGTGGTCTATAGGTGGATCAAGTGTATTTAGAGGTTGAAGAAAGTGTCCATCGGATACGGTATCAAATTTTCATATTTGGTAAGGTTGGTAAAATCTTTCTCTTTGAAAGGTACCCAAAAAATTGTATATAGTGAAATGAACGTAGAAAATGTGTTTTGACCATTTTATTCATTCAATAAAGTGGTGTTTTATAAAGGCTAAAAAATCTTTTAAAAGGTGAAGAGAATAATTTTGTACAGTTATTTGTCCAACTAAACCAAGTTCAATACTTTTTATATCAAAACTTTCATGGTCAAGTCGAAACTTCAATTTAGGTATGTATTCACCCAAAGATGTATTATACATATAAGTAGAAGTATAATAATCTGAAAACTTTTCTATCAATAGTGTTTCTGTTGACTGTAAAATAAAAAAATTAATTTGCTGAAATAATTCTTTGATTAAGAATACCACAGTTTTTTCGAAGAGAAGAATTCTTTTAAGCTTGTTTAGCTTAGAAGAAACATAATTATCTTTTTCAAAATATTCACATAAATTCAAGAAATTGTTTATTTCTTGAAGACTGTACTGATTTTCTTCCAAAGTAAAGAAATCAATAACTTACTGTTTTAGCAAATTTGTTGATAGAAGGCTTTGGAAAGCTATTTCTTTAAAATTTTAAAATTCTTTAGCCTCTTTGACTAAGAATTCAGCTAAGTTGATCATCCTTTTTCGAAAACTGGATTTGTTTTCTGAGAGATGGGATTTCCAAACTTTGTTTAACAAATTATAGACTTGTGGTTCAAGTCTAGGATTATAAAAATCTTTAATCTCTGGGTTAGAGAATTTTATTCCTTCAAGCAGTTGTTCTGTTGAAGAGACTATTTGAGAATAACTCATAGGTGTCCAGTCGTTTGGATCTTGAGCAAATTATGAGTATTCTGGTTGAATCTTCATGAAAGGGGGTCGATATAGAGGTTGTTGGTATATATATAATCCTTGGTTAGGATTATTGTAAAAGTTAAATCCTTGGTTAGAATTTGTAGAGATCAGGGGTCGTGGAGAAGAATGAGTAAAAAAGGAAAAAGAAGAAGAGAACTTTTTACCTGTTTTCTTTTTTACTGTTCTCCATCCACCTGTATCATGGATTGAGTGTTTTTCTCGATCCATGTGGTCTGCTCAGGAAGTCTGCAAGGTGGTTTTTGTCTCCGTTGATGAACTCTACCTGAAAATGATATGATCAAAGAAAATTGTACCACATAATTCGTCTGGAATTATCAAGAAGCTTTCTATTTTGAAGAAAGTTTTTGACTGCTTGGTTATCTATTCGGATAACAAAGATCTCCGAGGTTAAATAGATGTGAAATCGCTGTACATCATTTTTTATGACGAGTAATTCTTTTTCAAAAATAATATAATTTATTTCGTTCGGTTTGAACTTACCGAAATTGTAGCCACAAATCAATTCATCTTTTTTATGTAGATTTTTAGCTTTTAAGACACATCACTCACTATGGGATGAATTATGTTCACAAAATTACCCTGTTTACCTTGAGTTAAAACTCAAAATTATTCATGCTGCAACTCCCAGTATAGAACTGTATGATACTCTTGGATGTAGAATACATTACGTTCAGAATCAGGTAACAGAATACTGTTTGAAGCAAAAAGCTATTTATTTCTTGAAGACTGTATTGATTTTCTTTCAAAGCAAAGAAATTAATATCTTGTTGTTTTAATAGATTTATTGATAGAAGGCTTTGGAAAGCTATTTCTTTAAAATTTTAAAATTTTTTAGCCTGTTTGACTAAGAATTCAGTTAAGTTGATCATCCCTTTTCGATAGCTGGATTTGTTTTCTGAGAGACGAAAATTTCAAAAATCTACATCAAAAAGATGAATTGATTTGTGGCTACAATTTCGGTAAGTTCAAATAGAACGAAATAAATTATATTATTTTTGAAAAAAAATTACTCGTCATAAAAAATGGTGTATAGCGATTTCATATCTATTTAGCCTCGGAGATCTTTGTTATCCGAACAGATAACCAAGTAGTCAAAAATTTTCTTCAAAATAGAAAGCTTTCTGATAATCCAAGCGAATTAGGTGGTACAATTTTCCTTGTTCTTATCATTTTCAGGTAGAGTTCATCAACGGAGACAAAAACCTCCTTGCAAACTTCCTGAGCAGACTACATGGACTGAGGAAAACACCCAATCCATGATACAGATGGATGGAGAACAATCAAGAAGAAAACAGGTAAAAGTTCTTTTTTTCTTCTTCCTCTTTTACTCCTTCTTCTCCACGACCCCTGATCTCTACAAATCATAACCAAGGATTTAACTTTTACAATAATCCTAACCAAGGATTATATCTCTACCAATAACCTCTATATCGACCCCCTTTTGTAAATGATATCAGAACATATGTAAATCATGATTATAAGACTTATCTTGACAAATACAAGAATTTTCTTCATAAATTTTCATGTTTTTGGTGCTTAAAATCGGTGTGCTATTCTGAAACGCTAGCAACAAGAGGCAACTCAAGCCATAAAGTCAGCCACAAGTCAGATATGCACGTATAAGCTTTGAAACAAAGAGCTTTAGAAGAAGATGCAAGTAAGAGTAAAAAAAATCTTACAAGATGAATAACAAGTAGATCTTTATTGCAGAATCAACAATACAAGCTTTAGCAAACTTTTATACAAGCCTAGGGCTCTGATACCATTAACAGCCTCTGTAAATGCTCTGATATCATAATAGGTATCGATGGTAAAGAAACCATTGTTAGCTTAAAGGCAAAAAATATATATGTTGCCTTAAATGATAAAAAATTTATTATACCTAAAATATTATGCTTTCCTAATATGCATGGACACATTCTATTAGGAAATAATTTTATACATAGGTATTTACCATTTTCTGTTTATTGTGATTATCTTGTTTTCACTATTGATAAAAAATCAATAGAGGTTCCTCTTT